GCGGTCCGCGGCGGGAGGGCGAGAGTTGGCGTCCAATACGTCTCAATCCCTCCGCGCTTGATGTTTGAGCGCTCGCACATTTTTCCCGCCGACCCGCTTGAGGGGCTCCGACGCGGGCGGGCTCTGATCCGCGCACAGCAGACGCCGGCTTTTTGCCGGTCGGGCGTCGAGCCGCCCCATTTGTGCTTTGGCGCACTTGACGTTTCGCTTTGGATGCCCGTCCCAAAACTTTTATCCGGGTCTTCCGTCCCGCGGCGACGGCGCCTGGCGCGTTTCTTCACGTGCGTGTTTTGTCGACTCGGGTGCCTTGCGGAGGGGGAAGAAGCCCACCACCGGTCCAACCCGTTTGGCCAGCGTCGAGGTTTTTGACGGCAGCCCGACTGAAATGATTGATGAGGCTGAGCGCTTGCTGATGATGTCACCCGATGACATCAGTGCCCAGGCACCCAGACCGCCGCTCGGGCCGGCACAAGTGTCGTTTGTGTGGAGACCAAGCCCCGGTTCGACTGGTCCGACATGAATTTCGCAAGCCACCGCCGGCCGGCAACGCTGTGAGGTAAGCCCGATCGGGGCCAACACCGCAGCTCTGCTTACCTTTGAGCTTTGACGTGAAGAGGCGGCGTTCCTTCTTGCGCTGTCTGCTCCGCGTTCACTGGGGAAACAAAGCCGTCCCTCCCTCCTCGTCACACGTCAGCCCCGTTTGCAAGCCCCCCCCATCGGTCATCGGAACAAACTGATCAAATGCATTCCTCCCACTTTGAACAAATCTTCACTGCTCATTGCTCCGCAGTCCCAAATCATTTGTCGCCCAAACGCACCGCTCCCCGCCCCCCACTTCCACTTTTCATGACTGAGATGGTCTCGCTGTAAACAAAAGGCACGTCGAGAGCGGTCACCGGTCCAGTCAATATGCAGGCGGGCACATATTGACAAAGGCACATGTCCATCTTCAGTGAAGCGAGGAAAAAAACTCAAATAAAGTCAAAGAGTTGAGCGCAGAGGCGACGGGCGAACTCGCCGCTCCACACCGGAAGCTCGTCACCGAGAACCTCTGCGCCACGAGCCGGACGTGCCGATCGCCGCCACGCCGCGCCACGCTCGTTTGTTGCGATGTTGTACTTCGTTCAATTGGATCAGAGTCTCGGGGCAGGTCTCAAAAGTCTTCCCACTTTGTCGTTGAGCTCTCCGCCGACGTTTGATCGGCTCCGCGTGTTTCCTGTTGTGCCGCGCTCAACCCCGCCCGCTCCCTACACACAAAGCAGAATGTCGACACGAAGAGCGCTGCCATCGTGTGACTTCCATCTGGCAGTCGGCGCAAAGTACCAGAATGCTTTTGTTTTAACGGCGAGGCTTCAAAAGACGTCGCATTCAAAATGAAACGTGAAACTCCTTCGCCAAGGAATCTGCCAATTTTTTTTCCCCCTGCGGTTATTATCATCACTTGGGGATCTCCTGGAAAATCGTTCCCAGCCGGCCATTGCCGGCGTCCTCTTGAAGTGTGACGGCGAATAAAAAGAAGAAAAAAGTTGTTATTGGAGCAGGCGTGTGATAAGGAGCTTCGTGTGTCGTCATTGAAAACATAACATCGATGTGGAATGTCGCATGCTCCGCAAATATTTGCTCTGTGTGTCAGCCAGGAGATTATGTGCGGATAAATCTTGTAATATTTGATACAAGGCAGCCGTGTGATAACGGCAATAAAAATGAGTCAACGCGGGTGCGCGACTTTGCGCCGGTGAGGTCATCGGAGGAGGAGGAGGAGAAGAAGAGCGCGAGGACTTGGCCTGGCGCTCGTTACCTTAAATAGCAAACGTTTGGCCGACGCGCTTGTGAATGAACGTGCCCCTCGCTTCTCGGAGCCAAGCAGGAAGTTCGACGCTCCGCTTCCTGTCTGCCGGGCTCGCGGCTGTGCATTGATGCCAACTTGGCACTTGTCTCGCTTGCAACTTTTCACACTAACCTGGCAAAAAAAACAAATTGCACCTTGCAACACACTTTCAGTCACAAAGTCGCACGCAGTCGGAGCCTTAAAATATGAAAAGGGTTCACTTTTCACCCGTCATACAAAAGCACTGCTAGTTCTGCTCTTTCTTCACCACCGCTACAAAAAAAAAAAAGAAGCCAACAGCAACTGATCTCAAAGAGCACTGCAAAGCATTCTGGCGAAGTGCACTGCCTCAACTATCGTTTATGTGCTTTGGTGAAATTGTGTTGATGATTCTGGCGTTGTTGGATTAAAAGGGGAAGAAAACGCCGTTGTTTTTTTTTCTTTAGCGGCCATAGAGTTCGTCCCTTTTCCTTTTCCGTAATGACGTCATCAAAGCGGGCCACGGTCGGCGACGTGAACCGCGAAGAGAAGGAACGACGCGTCCGCGATGTCTCGTGCGACCTTGGAGTTCCTCAAACCGTAAATTTGTTCCGCGCCTCGCGTGTCACGGTACCGAGCGGCCGCGTTTCCCACGAACTCGTCCGTGAACATCCGAGCCCAACGTTCGGATCGCAGCAGTTTGAACACGGCGGAGCCTTGTTTCGCACTAGCATGAGCGCGACGTGACGCGTCTCAAAGCGGAGTAACTGCTGACTTTCGTCCGACTGCTCTCGTTTCGCGCGAGTCGAAGAAGCAGAGGAAGAAGAATGTCGGCCAAGCAGGCGTCCGTGCACGCCAAATGGATCATCGGCAGAGTTATCGGAACCAAAATGACCAAGACCGCCAAAGTGCGCGTCACCAGGCTCGTGCTGGACCCCTACTTGCTCAAGGTAAATACGCACGCGCGGCCTAGAGAGGGGAACGGCCTGTTTTGAAGAAGAAATCATTTAATGGGCTCAACGTGGCTGCTCGTACGAGCGAATGAACGGTCGCCCACGAATGACGGTGTGATTTTTGCGCTCTTTGAAGCGAGCAAATTCTCAAGCGTTCCTCCTGGTGTGATTCAGTACTACAACAGGAGGAAGACGTACTTTGCGCACGACGCGCAGCAGCAGTGCACGGTGGGCGACGTGGTGCTGCTCAAGGCCCTGGCCGAGCCGCGCTCCAAACACGTCAAGCACGAGCTGGCCCAGGTGGTCCACAAGGTGGGTCGCGGCGTCGACCCGCTGACGGGCAAGCGGGTGGCCGGCGCCCACTTCCTGGAGCCGCTGGACGAGCTTCACGCCGAGGACGAGACTTTGGCCCGCAAAGTCCAAAGCTTGAACATCACGGCCGACGCGTCCGTTTCAAGGTACGACGGTTTGAACGAGCTTCCCTAGGTTTTGTGGAGCGCTTCCCCTCATCTGAGTTGCGGGCGAGCTGCAAGCTACACCGGGTGACTTTGTGCCAGAGGCGGGCGCAGAGGGCGCGTGTGGACAAATAAGCATTCCCGCAATCAGTTCTTGCGGGATTTGAGTGTGTTGGAGGAATCTGGAGTATCCGGAGAAAAGCGCTGGGACAACGCGGCAACGGAGTCCAACCCGATGCTTCAAATCTTGACGGCGCGCGTGCTCACCACGAGGACCTCCAAGGGGCTGTCTGGAAAGTACTTTTCATGCTGTAGGGCCATGAAAACAAAGACAAATCCGAGTGCACCTGGACTTTTTGCATATTCGTGTCCTTGCGATGATCATTCAATCTAAGTTGACAATAAAAAGCGCAACTGGCTCTTTTTTTGCCTGTTTGACGGAGCACTGATGATGACAAATGCTTGTATGAGGGCTGCAACTATTGATTGTTTTTAATATAATTTATCTATCAAATATTTTTTTCAATCAATCACATTTGAGTCCCCCCCCCCCCAAAAAAAAAAAAACATTCAAACACAGGAAATTATTTCCGATGGCCTGGTTTGCTCCATTTTAAGCGGAGCGTGTGACTGAGGCGATTGCAAAGCGGCCTCGTCCAGTTTTGGTCCCTGCGAGCTTCCGTCCGCCTGAAGCAAGATGGCGGCACGAGTCCTTCACACAGCGCCCCGGTGGCTGACGAGCGTCAAACACTCGCAACAAATTCTCGCCGCGAGCGGACAGTTTCGTGGTTCCGTCAGGTGAGTTTCTGTCGAGTCCAACTCGGCCGCGGTCGGCGCACAATTCGTGAGTTAATCCGCTGCGGCTTTGCATCCATGTCAAACTCCGCTGACGTGCTAGGCGGCTAAGCTAAGGCTAGCCTCGGTGGCTAGCACTAATGCACGCAACTGACGTCGTTTGCTAGCAGCGGTGCTGGCGAACGAAAACTCGACGTCAAATGTTGCGCTGTTGTTTTACTTCATCAAATCTGCCGCGGTTCGGATATTTGACGAATGGCTGGACGAGGAGCAGCAAAGTCGGTGACTCCCAAAGCGCATTCAAGGTCAAAATATTGACGTGTCAACGTTCTTGTGACTTGTGATCCGGTGCACGGCTCGCTGTACTCCAACACGAACTTGTCCTGTTTTTTCCACCCATCAGTCACGTGATAAAGCAGAGCAGCGTATTGTTTAGTTTCTGTGATCGCAGGCAGCGTGTACCATTAACTGATGTTTTCATGGCCCCTTGTCCGAGAGGCGCTCTTTCAACTTTTGACAAGTGGCACCCGAAAAAAAAACTATTGGCTCTCCAAGTACCACTGGACTGAGCAACATGGTGGGCCTAAATATGGTCAAAAATCCCAAACAGGTTCTTCTTTTTTTCCTTTGGGCTTTCCCCTTCAGGGGTCGCGACAGCGAATCCGTTGCCTCCACCATCTAACCCTGTTTTATGCATCCTCTTCTCTCACACCAGCTACCTTCATGTCCTCTTTCAAAAGATGTACTAATAAAATGAAGTGTGTGTCATTTCCAAGATGCAAGTCCAAATTTGATGGGGGGGGGGTGGATTTCTGAATAAACAAACATCTAATGTGTGACGAGCGTGGTGGAAACTTGTGGGCGACAGTGTAAAGATGTTGGTGTTTTGTGTGTGCGCGCATGCACGTGGCAGGAGCTTGTCTGGGCTGCAGGACAGCTGGTTCAAGTCTCTGTTTGTGAGGAAGGTGGACCCGCGCAAGGACGCCCACTCGCACCTGCTGGCTAAGAAGGAAGACAACAACCTGTACAAGATCCAGTGTGAGTGATGCACCACGCCCGATCTTCACCTCCCTCGGATGCACTCCATCCAAACTGTTTTGCATCCTCCCTCTTGCAGTTCACAACGTCAAGCCCGAGTGCCTGGAAGACTACAACCAACTCTGGTAACGCGCTTTCATCTTGCTGTCACTCGAGCACGAGTCCGATCCCCTGTCAACCGCTCATTGTCTCTGTGTGCGTCGCAGTGAGAGTGTGTTGCCTTCCATCCACGCCGACCCGGAATACCCGTGCGAGCTTGTCGGAACATGGAACACGTGGTACGGAGAACAGGACCAGGCAGGTCAGACGCCAACGCTCGACTCAGCAGCCGCCAATCTAGCGAAGTCAACCCCCAAATTTGCTTCGCAATATGTTGTATGCGCTCTCACGAGTCTAAACGGGGCATTCGGATTAATATTGCGTTTGTGGAATATGAACGGTGTTGCAAAATCCACTTCAAAAAACCCAAGATGAAATCGGCCGGATTTTGCCGCCCACGTGACAGAGAAGGCTCCACCTCGCTAGGTGTCGTTGTTCAAGGCTTGAAGCAACGGATAATTGAAGTCACGGGGTGAATGTTGAATGTCGGCGACGCCTGTTGCAGTGCACCTGTGGCGATATCGAGGAGGTTACCCGGCCCTTACCGAAGTCATGAGCAAACTCCGGCAGAACGAGGTAAGGGCGCCGCCCGTTGCGCGGATCTGATTTTCAAGCGCCCGTCGGTTTGGTTGCTACTTTGCAGGAGAGGTTGAGGGCGGCGGGACGCACTTGCCATGCACACAGCACTCCAAGATTGGCCACTTGGCGGCCCTTGTGCTTCTCAACTCGCAGTGTTGTTGTTGTTGTTGATGATGATGATGATGATGATGTGCCGCCTGCCAGATGTTTGCTGATTACCGGCGGGAGCGCGGCAAGATGTTGCTGTCCCGCAGGAATCAGCTGCTGCTCGAGTTCAGTTTCTGGAACGAGCCGGTCCCCCGCGCCGGGCCCAACATCTACGAGTTGCGATCGTACCAGCTCAGGGTAAGTGCTTCCCGCACGCTCGCGCCCGCAGCCCAGCGCGCGGCCCTTGACGCTCGTGTTTGTTTGCGTTGCAGCCCGGCACCATGATCGAGTGGGGCAACTACTGGTGAGTCCGTCGCACGTCCCGGCGTCGCGTTTTGTTGGCGTGATGGGCGTGTGGCGCTCCTCTCTGCAGGGCGCGCGCCATCGAGATTCGGCAGCAGAACCAGGAAGCCGTGGGAGGATTTTTCTCCCAGATCGGAAGCTTGTACCAAGTTCACCACTTGTGGGGTGAGCGCCGCGCAACTTTGCTCCGGCCGTCGCTTGGATACAGGCGCCGTGTCATCTTGTGATCATTTTCCAGCCTACAAGGATCTGCAGTCCAGGGAAAACATTCGAAATGCGGCCTGGCAGCGGGAAGGCTGGGACGAGGTCGTCTACTACACAGGTTTGGGCACCGCTCTCGCCGGATTCACTTCGCGGTTCACATCTGCGCGCCTCAAATGCAGAAAATGGACCGCCGTGGTTTGAAAAGAAAAAAAAAAAAACAATTTTTTTTTTTTTAAGCACACTGCCATCGTGGTTTGTTTGCTATTTCCCCTGATTTTGCGGCGATGGTTTTCCATCCGGAGGGTTCTTGCAGACTCGGGTAGCGACGAGCGCCGCACGGCCTGCGGGAAGGAGCGCGTACGAGTTGCACCGCGTCCGGAGTTTGGCCTCAACTCGCACGCGAAGAAGCAGCAAAAGTGCCTCTTGCGAAGTGTCCAAATGGTTCGCTCATTGGCTGAAAAGTCGCCTCCCACACTAAACCGCTTCCAAGCCATTTTCAGAGGGGCGGGGCCGCTTTGGCTCGCTTCATCCAACAAAACGCAGCAAGCGCGGTCGCAAAAGGTTGTTTACCTGCCACAGAACGTTCCTTCCCCAAAAACCAACGTCAGGCATTTCGCATTGCTTCAGTGGCGGCAGGGGGGGGTCGCTTCGCAGCCTTGACCGGGTCGGGGCGCCTTTTTTGGAAGGTTGCCCGACCCGCGTCGGCGCCGACGAAGCCTGGACTGACGGCCGAAACCGTCAGCTCGCTCAGAGTTTTTCTCTTTTTTTGGGGTGAAGAGAAAAACGCTGACGGTTGGGACGTGACTTGTCGCGGACCCGCGCAAATTAGCCAGGTCACAGCCGGCCAACTCTGAATCCTCATCGGCCGACATCCAGGCTCAGCGTTGCGAGGCCACTGCGCGGATACGACGGTGTCAAAAACGTGCGGATGGCGATCCCAATCGAGAAGAATCGGGCCTGCCCAGCATATATATCGATCTTGGTGGTCAATGCGCGTCTCATCAGTCATCAACATTTGGTCTGCATTTGGCCAATTTGGTCTCTTGCAGGGGTGGCCGGGAATGGAAGGTCCATCAAAAAATAAATAAATAAATCGTCTCTGATGGAGTCAATCGCTAACCCATTTCATGTTCTCCACCAATCTTGCATGTTTGACACCCGTCTTTCGGGACGCCCCGATCCGGTCACGTGATTTTCAATGCGCCCTAAAACACAAGTAGATCTTCGAACATCACCACATCGATGGATGCATATTTCTATATTCATTTGGAGAAAAATCGGATGGCCGCCGAGGTATCGGATCGAGACTCGGTATCGGCAGATACTTCAAGCCAAAGACTCGGCCTCCGGTGCCAAAAAAGCATGATCGGGACATCTCCTCATGCGGAATATATTTGCCATGTTGGTGACTCGTTGACGAAGAAAGTTTGACGTGCTGAAGTTGCGGTGGCGTGCGCGAGTGCGATGAAGCAGTCTAAGTGTGTGTGCCGTTGGCCGGACTTGCTCCCGCAGTGCCGCTCATTCAGCACATGGAGTCTCGAGTCATGATTCCCTTGAAGAGTTCGCCCTTGAAATGAGCCCTGCCGCCCCGTGACCCCGTGCGGGAAAAGAGGCGAAGGCGGCGCCGCCGCCGCCGCCGCCGCCGTGAGGGGCTCCTGCTCGACTTTGCTCCGAGTGTGAGTGTCTCCATCATCGCGGTCACCTCCGCTGACTCCCCGAGAAATGTTTGCTGATTAACTTGATTGATTTTTCAAATGAGTATAGAAAAACGGGAGAATAATAAATCTTGGTTGAGTTGCCATGGTGATGCTTGTAGTTTTTCCCATTAAATAAGCAGAAGGTTGCCCAAAAGTCCAATTTGTCGATTGGATTAGTTTCGCTTGTGTTTTGAAGTGACTTTTTGGAGCTGCTCATGGGGTGGTGGCGGGCGGGGCCGGCGTTGGCGCTCCCCGGCTGGAGGAAGGTGGCACTGTGTTAACTGTTGGGTGATCATGCATCGCTTGTAAATTTCCCCAGTGTGGGACAAATAAAGGATATCTTATCTTATCTTATCTTAGTTGTACATAATGGAATTAAACTTCTCACGAAGCCGCCTCTTGTCTTATTTCACAGCACACGTCGTTGTTTGCTTTATAACATGGAGTCTTGCTTTTATATTGTGTGTGTGTGTGTGTGTGTGTGTGTGTGTGTGTGTGTGTGTGTGTGTGTAAACGTTGGTGAAGCGATTCGGTGTTGCAAATCCGGTAGTAAGGCAGAGTACGTTGAAGAATCAACAGAAGATTTGTGTTTGCATTCGTTCAGGTGTTAACACAATGCGGGGTAGAAATCTGAGGATCACCATGAAAAAAAACGATATTGTGGCGGACACTAGGACCATGCGCAATGTTGTAATTGTTTAGAAGATTTGTGTTTGCATTCGTTCAGGTGTTAACACAATGCGGGGTAGAAATCTGAGGATCACCGTGAAAAAAAACGATATTTTAGATTTTAAAGAAACGAAGTTGCCACAGAAATCCCGAAGCCGTTATTTGTATTGTACGGTCTAACGTACTAAAATTGCATGCATGCATTGCCAAACTGACTGGGTTGTTTCGTTTTGTTTCTTGCGGGGTTGGGCGGCTCACGAGCGCAATTCTTCCGTTGTCTGTACGGTACAGAAGAAGCGCCCCTGTGGTTGTTTGCGCTCGGGGGCAAGGGGGCGGGGCTCGGGAGGCAAACGCCGGTGAGAGAAACTCAACTCCACCGGATTTCGAGAGCACTTTAAAACAACCGCCGCCGTATCCAAAGCGCTAAACGCGGACCAAGAATGATTCATACAACACCCAATAAATAAATGAGAAAAACAGCACAAGCACGCGGAAAACTAGAAATCATGCTGAATCAAAAGCCAAAGAATTAAAAAACGAGTTTTCAGTCGAGTTTTAAAGATGAGCAGCGAAAGGCGCGCAAAACCATTCGGACGACTGCGGCGTTCGGCTTTGGCAGCAGCCAAAATTCCAGCGATAGCAGAACGTCCGAGCGTCGCCGCGTTCCTTGAACGCGTCAGAGTAGCACGTGCGGGCCTTCCGGAATCCTTCTCGCTCTTTCTTCGCTTGGCGCGTCCAGCTCGCGACCGAGCCGCCCTTTTTTTTTCAACTCGTTCTCCATCGCCATGGCCGCCGTGAAAGCTCTGAACCCCAAGGCGGAGGTGGCCCGCGCCCAGGCCGCCCTGGCGGTCAACATCAGCGCGGCCCGGGGGCTCCAGGACGTCCTGAAGAGCAACCTGGGACCCAAAGGCACCATGAAGATGTCGGTACCGGCCGCGAGCCACCGGGGGCCGTTCTTTGCGACTGCTCAATGCTAGGCCGAGCTAAAGGGCTAACGGGCTAACTGGTGTGGCGGGGCACGTCTCCGATTGACCACTTGCTCCTTGGGCTCTCTGTCCTGGAAGGAGCAAGTACATTTCCGTGTCGTTTTCAGTCTTTTTTTTCACCTGCGAAGTTGCTCGCTTTATTTTTGTTTATTTGTTTTAGGCCTCACGTAGCCAATGCTAACAAATGCTAACCCTGTGCCGGCGCACGTTGCCTGCCTGCCCCGTCACAATCCGCCTTGGCTAAATTTAGCGTCAGCATCAGAACTATCTCGAGTTCGTCATCTTCTTCATTGGCCCAGTCTGGTCAAACGCAAGGAAGGAATTGAGTCTCCCATCGTTGAAGTCGATCGGGAAAAAATACTTTCAAATGTAACGAGCTTCGAGGACGTGCACTATAGGGAACAATGACCAGGCAGCTAAGCAATAGAACACGTGTTGACACGGCGACATCCACGGATATCGCAATGAATACTAACGATGATCATTATGACGACGACGCAGAGAGCGGCAACGTGGCGCTGTGAAATTTCAAGTCACCCGTTGAACGCGCTAAAGAAGCTGCGGCGTTCTTTTGGGGAACTTGCCGGTTTGGGGGCGCGTCTGATGCAAGAACCGCTGAGGTGCCGCTGAGGGTAATGCGAGAGAATCCGAGAGTGGGAACGGGGTGCTACCGATGGGCTTTTCTGCACGCCGATCAAACCAATGATTCGAATGGTTTCTTGCAGAGGTCGGAGACTTTTTAAAGCTCTAGCTGTCTTAGCGCGTTTGTGTGGTGTGGTGTGGTGTGCGCAGGCTGGTTTCTGGAGCAGGAGACATCAAGCTGACCAAAGACGGAAACGTCCTCTTACATGAAATGGTAAGTGGCCATTTTTGACTTGCATTTATTTCTCCACATGAAACGCGAGTGAGTATTGTGGGCGTTTCACTTGCTGTTTGTTTATTTTTCTGTTTGTTTCTCTCAGCAAATTCAGCACCCGACGGCATCGCTCATCGCCAAGGTGGCCACGGCCCAGGACGACATCACGGGGGACGGCACCACCTCCAACGTCCTCATCATCGGCGAGCTGCTCAAGCAGGCCGACCTCTACGTGTCGGAGGTGGCGCGCGCCCTCCCCTCCGCCTCGTTTGCTTCTGCTCCTTTGTGTCTCGGGGCTAACGAGTCGCGGCGCGCGCCTCCTCCATCAGGGTCTCCACCCGAGGATCGTGGCCGAGGGCTTCGACGCGGCCAAGGAGAAGGCGCTGGCCGTGCTGGAGGAGGTGAAGGTGACGCGGCCGATGGACAGAGAGACCCTGGTGGACGTGGCCCGGACCTCCCTCAGGACCAAAGTCCACGCCGAGCTGGCTGACCTCCTCACCGAGGTCACGCTCGCCGACTCCTTTTGCAAACACGCTGTTCTCGCGCTTTTTGCCGCCGATGCGTCCCGCGATTTCCCACGATAGGTCCGTTTCCGTCGGGTCGAGGTTGACTTTGTGTGAGTTGGACTGACGTGTATCTCCATGAAGCCACGACAAAGGCGCGCAGACGGGGCCCGCCCCTCTGACCTACTGAAAACGCTGAATGTCGAAAAACTCATCGCTGTGGAAACCGCAGGGTCGTTGCCACGACTGCCATGCTTAGATTTCCGACGGAAATTCTTTGTCGTCTTCCATTTAGAAGAAGAGGAAGGGAAACGGGGGCCGTGTCAACTAAGTTTCAAAAGTTTCACAGTGCCAACGGACGCTTTGAATGCCGCTTAAGAGAAGCCGATGGAGACGAAAAAGAACGACTCTCGCGCAGCATCCGTCGAGCCTGCCGCGCTGGACTCGGGTCATCCGCGGGGGAAAATTGACACTCGCAACAGTTTGCGCATTGAAGCGAAGGCACGCGTGCCAAACGGAGTCGCGCTCGAGTGGCAGCGAGGATGCGTGGCCGTGTTTTTCCGTGCAATCTGATTCATGTTTGCGTGTGTTTGTGTCTTGCGAATGTGGCGCAGGCGGTGGTGGACGCCGTGCTGACCATCGCCAAGCCCAACGAGCCCATCGACTTGTACATGGTGGAGATCATGGAGATGAAACACAAGACGGACTGCGACACACAGTGAGTGGGCGGAGCCGGGAAGACCGCGCCCGAGGCTCGGGACCGCCAAAACGATTGGGCCCCGGCCACCGGCGGTGCGACTCGGGACTTTTCCCAGATGCGATCCGCCCTCTGCTTTGACTTGAGATGAGAGCGCGGTCAACTCTCGTCGGCTCACGTGACAAACAAGCGGCCGTTTGGCAAATCGGGAACGGCCGTCCCAAAAAGGGGCCGCCAGCTGCTCTCCGCCCCTCTCGGCTGACGCGAACTCCAAAACCAAAGCGCCCCCTCGTGCCTTTCGAGGGCCCGTCGAAAGAAAGGCCCTGCTAGCTTCGTGCTAACCAGCGGCCTTTTCGCTTTGTGTTTCCCTTTTACGACTCTGAAGCCAGACGCGTGCAGGTTGCCTTACGCGACGCGTTGACGAATGACTCGTTTTGAAATCGGAAGCCGGTCCACGTAGTTTGTTCCACTACTTTTCAGTTGACTCTAAAAGGGCGGTCGGGAAGAGAGAAGTGTCTCGATGTCGCCAAAGGCGAAGACGTTCATCGTGAAAAGCGGATGCGCGCGGTTCGCATCAAAGGCCGCGGCGGGCCGCGACTTCGCCGCCTGTCTCGTCATCAACGGCCGGGACGCAAACGGCGCAGCGAGAACGCGTAGACGGACGATCCGCGGAGAGGCAGGCGCACCTCTCGGCGTTTGACGGGCGCGACGCCGTCCTCTGCGCGTGTGCAGGCTGATCCGAGGCCTGGTGCTGGACCACGGGGCCAGGCACCCCGACATGAAGAAGCGCGTGGAGGACGCCTTCGTGCTGACGTGCAACGTGTCGCTGGAGTACGAGAAGACGGAGGTCAACTCGGGCTTCTTCTACAAGAGCGCCGAAGAGCGCGAGAAGTTCGTGGCGGCCGAGAGGAAGTTCATCATCGAGCGGGTGCGCAAGATCATCGAGCTGAAGAAGCGCGTGTGTCCCGACGGCGACGGGGGCTTCGTCGTCATCAACCAGAAGGTAAGCCCGCCCGCCCGCCGCCGTTCGCCTTCCCGGCGGAGGCGGCACAGCGAACACCCGGGCGGCGCCGGCCACGTGGCGCTTCCCGGTCACACGACTGTGCGACAGCGACCGTGACGTGTACCTCTGCGCGCGGGGGCCCCCCCTCCCCCCGACGTGTATTCAGCACTTCACCACAATGCCCGAAGCTCGTCGCGCGCGGCGCCTTCACGCGCTCTCGTTGCGCTTCAGGGCATCGACCCCTACTCGCTGGACGCCCTCGCCAAGGAAGGCATCGTCGCCCTGCGCAGAGCCAAGAGGAGGAACATGGAGAGGTCAGAGTTCGACACGCGCGCACCTTGTCACCGACACGGCTCGCCGTCTGCACTTTTCGGCACTTCCGCTCTGTATTGAGTATTTCCTTCTTTATTTCTCGCTCGCCATCTCGTCTGTTGGAAAGCCGCGTTGCTCGGCGGCTTTCGACGACGGCGCCATCCCGCCCAAACTCCGCATTGGCCGCGGAGCCCTTCGCGGCCAATGCGGAGTTTGGGCTCGCGTGAGCGACGGCCAAGTGTGTTTGCCTCTGAAATCGCGGCGATTAAAGAGTTTGCTTTCCGTCGACTGCGGTCAAAAATGTCCGCTTCGACCGCAAGCCGCTTGCGTTTTGGATTCACGCGCGAGCCCGCTAGCGGACGAGTTCGGCCGACGTCTTGAGGCAAACCCGCACCACCGCTTATTCGTTCGCCCGTCCCGCTTTGCTGACTGGACAGCGAGGCGCTCGGACCAAGTCCAACTCTGCAGCAGCGGCAGCACAAGAATGTCCACGAGAAGGTGTCGTGCGCTCACGCGTCCGTGTTTTTGTGCAACGGCAGGCTGACGCTGGCGTGCGGCGGCATCGCCATGAACTCGGTGGACGACCTGACGCCCGAATGTTTGGGCCGCGCCGGGCTGGTGTACGAGCACACGCTGGTGAGTGACGCCGAGAAGCCCCCGCAACGCTCGCTGCGAAGTGTCAAATGGGTGGACGCGTTGGTCGCGGATCGGTGCGCGAGTACCGTCGCGGCGTCTGGCCGCCGCCGGCGCTGGCCCTTTGCTGTCGACTCGCGCCAAGCGGCGGCCGGCTCTTTTCCTGATGACAGGCGGTGACGTTGTCGGATGAGAAGCTGAAGCCTGAAAAAGACCAAGCGGGCTGCCAATTTGCTCGTGAGCGGAACCGCTCGCAGACCCGTCGCTCGCCCGAAATAGGATTGTTGTCGCAACGCCGCCTTGCGGGGTTTGCTCATCTGCCCGCTCGGGGCGAGTCAATCTTAATCCCGTGGCCTTCGTGCCGTGTGACATCATCGCCGGGTCAGCTTTTGAAATCGCGCGCTTCCCGACTGCGACCGCGAGCGTGCGTACGGCTCACGTCAACACTTTGTACGCTTCCCGGTAGCAAAGCTGAGCCGCCGGAGGGGGCCGCGACCCGAGTGTCGCGGGAAGCGCACGCGGCGGCGGCGGCCTGCTCACTGAGCTCTCTCGTGTTTGCAGGGAGAGGAGAAGTTCACGTTTGTGGAGAAGTGCGGCAACCCTCGCTCGGTCACGCTGCTGCTCAAAGGGCCCAACAAGCACACGCTGACGCAAATCAAGGACGCCGTCAGGGACGGCCTGCGGGCCGTCAAGAACGCCATCGAGGACGGTGAGAGCCCCTCCCGAGCATCCCCGGACGAGCGCGCGCCCTCGGAGCTGTCGTTCGCCGCGCCGGCCCGCTGCCTCCGGCGCACTCCCGACCTTTTCCTTCCCCTGTTTTTTGGGTCCCGCGAGCGCTGCGCTCGTCACGCTCGCTGGCAGCAAACTCTCCCGCTAGGCCCGAGCGGGGGGCCCTCGTCGTCGCCTCCCTTTTGAAGGAGATTGCGCCAGCCGAGTGTCTTTCCGTAGAAACTCTTTCCGGAAGCGCGCCGGCACACACTCGGACTCGCGTCCCCCGAACTGAGGCGTCTTTTCTTCCCCCGCCGTTGTTGCCGTCAGGTTGCGTGGTGGCCGGCGCGGGCGCATTGGAGGTGGCCCTGGCGGACGCGCTGCTCAAGCACAAGGCCGCCGTCAAGGGACGAGCCCAGCTTGGCGTGCAGGCCTTCGCCGACGCCCTCCTCGTCATTCCCAAGGTACGTTCCGACGCCGTCCGTCCCTTTTCTTGCGCTTGTCGTCAGCCCGCGTCTTCGCCGGCTGACTGCGGGGCGGGGACGGGACGCGGTCCAAAACCGCTCGATGGACCGGTTGCGCACGCACGTCGACGCCAGCGGCGACTCTCCCTCCCTCCCGCCCACGCTCGCTCCAAAATCTTTCTCTTGTCTTTCGGAACGCGTCGCGCCAAGTGAAAAGCGCAACCAAAAGACGCAACGACGCCGTTTTGAGCGAGCCAAGGCAGCGGTGCGAACGAGATCCGAATCCCCGACGTCGATGAGTTGGAACGAGGCTCGCGTCCAGACTCGTTAGAAAGGCAACAACATCCTTTTGGATTTAAGACGCCAAGAGTTGTGTCAGTCCTTCCCCGTGGCTCAGTGCAAGCCTCGATTAGAGCAGCAGGGGGCGCAGTCAGCCCAATGAGAGTCAATCAATAGGGAGGCGTTTTTTTTTATACTCATCCAATCATGGAGTTGAACTCCTGACGGTTATTTGTTGTTCCTCTCGACGAAGCTAGCGTGCAAATTGCTGGCGTAGGGCCCAAAGTCACAATTTGGTGCATTTGACGGCAGCCCAGAGAAAGAAAGAAAGCAATCTGTCCTCTTGGTCCGCGCACACGTGGGAGCTAAGTTCTCAAGTTCCTTGGAGTCAACGGTCACGGGCGGCGATTGAGGCGGCCGGAGTAAATGAAGATCCCCCTTTTGCCCCTGTGGCTCCGCCGACAGGTTCTGGCCCAGAACTCGGGCTACGACCCCCAGGAGACTCTTCTGAAGCTGCAGACGGAGTTTAAAGAGTCCGGAGGTCAGCTGGTGGGCCTGGACCTCGGCACAGGTGAGCACGCTTCACCCCTTGCGCTCGTTTTGCCGCGGAAGGCGAGCCGCCCTTTGCTGGGAAACTCGCGGTGGGCTTGCCGGGTCTGCAAAAGTGCCACTTTTGCAAAGACTTGCACAACCCGAGATGGGCTTGCTCGTTTCATGGGGTGGTTGGTTGCTTGATTGCGTCCTCTGAAAAGTCACACGTTGCTTTTTCTTCTTCGGAATATTAACCGAGCAATTTTTTGTACAAGTGCTCCAAGTTCAAACCAGTTGGTCGTGTGGACATTGAGAGTGGTAGCGTATTTCACTTCAGATGGCAGCGCGCGCACAATTCTTTGTTGCGCCGTGAATTCCATCTCTTTCATGTGAATGATGTCAAACGCAGGTGTGTGTGTGTGTTTGTTTTTTAGGGGAGCCAATGGTGGCGGGCGAGGCAGGCGTGTGGGACAACTACAGCGTCAAGAAGCAACTTCTTCACTCTTGGTAACCAAACCGCGTCCGCGACATCATCATCGACATCTTGGTTATTGTTAACATTTGTGTGTGCGTGCGCGTGCGTGTGTGTCTGCAGCACGGTGATCGCCAGCAACATCCTGCTGGTGGATGAGATCATGCGCGCCGGAATGTCTTCCCTCAAAGGTTAAAGTGTCGATGAGCTCAACAAGCACTCAGTTGGCCAAGCTTTTGTTGTCTGAACGACGACCTTTGGATGAATTTATTTATCACATTTTGTTGAAATGAAAACAAAAAAAAAACGCACTGATGACCGCTTTGTGTGTCCCCATTAAACTTGTTGTTGAGCAGGCCCTCATTGACTTGACTGATTTAGTTTGGATTCTTGGACTTGGTTTCAAACGGGGACAAAAAAAAAAAGGGATTTTGGGGCGGCATCCTTCAAGGTAGGCCGGCGGTAGCCCCCGAGGACCGCGCGAGTAGGCGGTGCGACTGTTTGAAAAGTAGCTCTGCTCTAATGGGACATTGTGACTTTCTAGCGGCGTTCCCTTCTCCAATTTTACAAAGCAACATTCGATACAGCCTGAGATGTGATTTTGAAACGTCCCGCTCTTCGTTGCCGTGGGTGTGCACGCAACCGATTCAAATGACGACCCCGTTCGAACGTCCGCCTTCCCGGTCGTGACGTTACCAGACGTGCCGAGGCTTTGAAGCCGCCATCGGGTTCATGAAGGCGGCCTTTCCGCCAAGTGCGGATCGAGGCTCGCGAAGACGTCCCAAGGCTGGCTGGCTGTTGACCACGTGACCGGTTCGGGGAGCCGCTTCAGATTGTTGCTCGCGCCCTTTGATGGAAAATGCAAAGTGTTCTTGTAGCATTTCACTCAGAGACTGCAGAAGTACGGTCAACTACGCACTTGGAATTCTGACAAAAGAGGGTGCTGGCCCAAACTGAAACCGCATTGAGGTTGACCGCGGCAGTGCGTGTCTTTCCAGGTCCTGGTTGATACGTAGACCCGTGGGCTCCAATCCTCGGGGAGGATTTTGTCGGATGACTAAATGAAGATGCGGTTTATTGGTCTTTTTATACGGTGATGTTCACCTTCCCATTTTCTTCAACGGTGAGGCGTTTGTGTTCCAAAGAAACTGAGTACAATACTGTATCCCAGAATAACTTATGTGAAAGGTTTACTGACACAGAATAAACATCATATTTGGCCACTACACTTTATGCCGACGAATTATTTCATCATATATATATACTTTTTTTTCACTCCCGCAAGTCAAAACGGACGCGAAAATCCTTTGTGCCTCGGTGCATCCCACTGATCAAGATGCAGCTGGCTCTCAGTATACATCCGGCCAGCAATCGATTTCGTGTGCGCATGAAGCATCAAGAATTCTGTCAATGAACCCTTGCTCGAATTAATGGTTCGAAGGGGCTTCATCTCGCCGTCATGACTTTGCGGTAATACTCTGTTCTCAAACTTGGCTCGAAATGAAGAAAAATCTATTTCTGTAGACAGGCGCGTTGAGAAGAAACAACAAGCCGAAGTTGCTGTTGTTTCGCATCGGACGCATTTGTCTGCCGCACTTGAGCATGACGAGCACATTCAAGCTGTTAACTTGAGCTTTTATCGTTGAGAAAACGACGCGCTTTCAAATTGCCGAGAAAATACACGAGGCAGATTATTGGAAACAAAGTAGATTTGAAATGAATCGCGCATCTTTGGCGCGAGCGGAATTGCTGCTTGTCCTTGTTTCTCATCGAGCTCCGTCAATCGATGCACTCCGGCCCGGATGCGCAATTGCGAATGCGCAGAAGAAAGAGAAAAGACTTCACGGCGTGCTATTTCCCTTCAGACAAGTAGTTTGTTGTTGTTGTTGTTGTTGTTGTTGTTGTGTTTGTTCCACAAATCAAGATGCGCCTCCGCCGTCTTTTAGGCGTTTGCTTGCTGGCACTCATCACGGCGACGGCAGCGGGTGCGAAGAAAAGTTCAAAATGGGTCAAAGTCAATGGCGGGCAGACGCTTTCAGCAACGGGTTGCCTTTGTTGTGACGTCCTCAGCTGAATATGACGTCATGGTGGCCATCCCCGGAGGCAGCATGAGGAAGAGGAGCTCCGCCGGGGCCGAAGACGAACACGAGACCGAGATTCGACTTTTGCCTTTTCTCTTGGACAAAGGGCCCGTCACCAACGCGGCCTTCAGGTCGACACACGGCGGGGGACACGTTCACATTTCGCATTTTCACACGGGCGTCAACATGAACCGTTCCTTTCAGACAGTTCGTGAGGGACCAAAAGTACAAAACGGAAGCTGAGAAGTTTGGCTGGAGTTTCGTCTTTCGGGATTTTGTGTCCGACGACGTCAAGAGCAAAGTGACGCACACCATTCCGGTAATCCCCCCCCGCAATCTCCCCAAAAAGCTCCTTTTGCCGGGGCGGGGCACGCTTCCAACTGAAAAGCCATTTGCGTAAAGTTCCCATTTCGATCGGTCATGAATGAACAACGTTTCTCGTGGGTCGCGCGGGAGCGGCGGGCGGAGTTCAAACCGGACGCTGAAGGGTCGCGCGGTTGTTGGCCAATCGGTTGCGGCTTGTTGGGCGGCCGTCCGGCGAACGTCGCCGTCGTCTCGGTGCTCACCGTGTCTTTTTCCTTTTCTCCTCAGTCGGCTCCATGGTGGCTTCCTGTCCAACGGGCCTTCTGGCGGCAGGTCTGTCTGTGGTCCTTTCGGGTTTACGATTCCCCACCCCCGGGCCTTCTGCTCACGTGTCGTCCCCCCCGTCAGCCTGCAGGTTCCGGTTCCAGCATCGGCGCTCGCCTGGACTTCCCGGTGGTCCAGGTGAGCTGGAACGACGCTCGGGCCTTCTGCAGATGGAAGAGGAAGACGCTGCCCACCGAGGACCAGTGGGAGTGGGCGGCCAGAGGCGGACTCGCGCGTAACAAACACACCCGCTCGAAGCGCGACGCGCCGTGTCCGCGATAGCTTTTTCGGCTTGCGCGTGCGACCCGGCGTTCCCGCCTTTTGATCGCAGGTGCGAGTTTTCCGTGGGGGAAGAGCTTCCGGGCCAACAGAAGCAACCTGTGGCAGGTGAGCGAGACGTCGGCGCGGGCACGCCGCGGCGCCATCCCGACCTTGACGTCAAACGGGGCGTGCGCCCGCAGGGCTCGTTTCCGGACGGCGACACGGCGGAGGACGGATATCACGGCCTGGCTCCCGTCGACGCCTTCCCGCCTCAGAACAAGTTCGGTAAGGCGGGATGAAGGTGAGGGCGATGATGAACGACGACCGGGATCTTTCTCCGTGCGTGCGTGCGTGCGTGCAGGGCTGCTGGATATGTTGGGGAACACGTGGGAGTGGACATCCAGCCCCTTCCCGGCGCCGCCGGGGTCCCGTCAGCAAATGTTTGTGCTGCGCGGCGCCTCCTGGATCGACACGGCCGACGGCTCGGCCAATCACAGAGCGGAAGTCGGCGCCAAGTGGGTAACGCTTTTCAACACGGGCGAGTCCCGCGAGCGTCCCATTCACGTTCCGAGTCATCTCCTCGAAGTCGCCTCGCTCGGTTGTTTATGAGCCGCCTTCCGCGGCGCCGTGTGCGGCGAGCCCGATGAATCCCGATGACCAAACGCAGCGAAAATGCGCCGTCGGAATCAAACGGCCGGCTCTTCTCGGCGATCGCGCGAGAATTCCTTTTGCCGGTCCGGACGAGCGCCGCGTCAACGGTTGAATGGGAATAGCCGAGCCGAGCCGCGCGTGGGCCGCCTTGCCGAAAAATGACGTCGTCGCGTACGCGCCTGGAAACGAAGGCGGCGACGGGAGGGGCTCGTCCTCGACGGGAGGGCCGCCCTTTAAAATGGCTTGTAACTCGCTTTTCATCAAAAGGTTCCTTTTGCAAAACTGGCCCCGCGTGACCTCCGTGTCGATCGGGCGCCCGTTGTTCGCACGTCACGTGTCGACGGGTGACCTGAGATCTCCCTCCGCGAGCGTCCGCGCCGAGGCGGCTCGTATTTCGAGCGGCCGACTTGAAAAGTCGCCCCGGTCGCCTCGACGCGCCTTTCTCGTATTCCGTTTGCTTGAGGTCCGAGTTGTTGGCACGCTGCGGCCTGCCCGCCTTGGACCAAATCAAATGGACTTTGTTCCTCCCGAAATCCGACTTGCGTGGAGCTGACCCGACACGTGCCTCTTCGCCGCCGTCATTGGCAAAATGTTTCTTGAAAAATCCGACAATGGGATTTTCTGCATTTTGCCTCTGTCGCTGTTGAGGCGTACGCATGATGAGGACGATGATGGGTGGGCCTCTGTCATCTTTTCCAGTTGGTGAAGGAAGCGGCGCAGTTGGTGGCTGACGACCCCCCCCCCCTTTTTTTTCATGCCCCTCTCTCAGTCAGGCACGATGGTTGTTTTGTGTTTTGGGCAACGTTGACCACGAGGTCCCAACCTGATCGGGATCGTCTTGGTACTTGTCGCTTGCAGGATGGGCAACACCCCCGATTCGGCCTCGGATAACCTGAGCTTCAGGTGCGCCTCCGATGGCCACGAGAGGAACGCGCACGCAGACTTGTGAACCGCAGCCGCCGCGCGCCGATGACCACGAGGCGGGGCCGCGGGAAGCGCGTCAGAACTTTCCGGCGTCCATCGCGGGGAGCGGGACAAATGTCATCCGGTTCCACGCTGACTCGACAAAGAAGAAGAAGAAGTCGGGCGTGAGTTGAAGACCGCGCCTCGTCGCCGGCAGGTCCGGCGGCGCAAAATCTGAGTTGAAAATTTGCGGCCCGCCTTCCAGTCATGCCAGCGTCAACGAAGTGCTTTTCAAATTCGAGACGGCCTTTCAAACGCACCCGGAGAGTTTGTCAGCTCGACATTTGGCCTTTGGCTTTCCCAGCTTTCACCTCCGCCAAGGAACTTGCTTGTGTACAACTTCCTGTTGACACTTTCCTCCCCCCAACTGCATCTTTTTGCACGTGCGTTCGACTGGCTGACATTCGCACTCTACTTGCGGCGTCACTCATCAGGAGAACAGGCAGTGAATAAATTATAGCCGCGACTCGAATTCTTTTCATCATCTGTTCATTTTCCCAATGACTCCAATTCACTTCAATCAATTTCATTCATCGGGTAGGAAAAAAAGCCCAAAAGACTTTCCCTTACTTTGGTTGGATACGAGGGTTGGTCTCGCGTGGCCTGGAACTGGTCTCGTTGGGAGCGAGCCAAATTGGGGGTTTGAACCATTTTTGGGTGTAATTTGCAGAATTCGGAGGACTTTATTTTGGAACGCAACATTGGATTTGTGTCTTTGGTTGGATTCTCCCTGGTGCTCTTGTGTGCCCTAAGCTCGCTTTCAGGGAAAAGATTTATTTCTTTTGGAATGATTTTCCTCGTAGTGACGATGGCTGCGGCGCCCGGCTCGACTTGTGTCGTTCCGCGCGTAGGCCGGCCTGACCGCAATCATCGACGGGCCTCGGGCGCCGCGCCCCGTCCCGGCCCGAGGCGGCAAACAAAACAAAACAAACGAGTTTGGGAGCATTCTTGGCGCTGGGAGCTTTACTCGAAGCGCTCGGCTGCCCGGTCGTTGTTCCCTTGGCGTCGCGTCGCGATGGAGTACTCCCGGGACCTGGACTTCGCCGACCTGAACGAGAGTCTGCGTCCCCGTCCGCGCCTGAGCGCCAGCGAGCAGCTCTACTGCTCCCTCAGCAGGGTGCCGTCCAAATCGGCCCGACGCGAGTCGGCCGAGCCGCCGCGCCGATCCGCCTCGCTCTCGGAGCCGGAGGACGACGGCCCCGACGCCGACGGCGCCGATCGCGACTCGGGCGTCTTCGCCCGCCTCAGCCCGAGGGGGGACGCCGACGCCGACGGAGCCCCGCGGCCGGGGCGCTCCGAGTCTCCCGCTTCGGACGGGGGCGATTCCCCGTTCCAGAGGAGCTTCATGACTCTGCCCGACCTCATCCACGGCGGCAGGCCGCTCGGCAGGCGCAGGACCCTGGGACACGTCAACGACACGGTACGCTCCGCAGATTGCCGCGAGCTCAGCTTTTGCCGCGTCCAACAAACTTGCTGCTATTGTTGCCCCCTCCCGCCTTATAACCCAAAGGAAGCCAAAAAAAAAAAAAAGCGACCGTCCCAGCCCAAACAAGACGTTAGAGGGAAGCTTTATGCGCGCACCGCTTCGGGAACGTTGCCGTCCTTCGACGTTTTGAAAGTCCCCGACGCGATCCCGGTGGTCGCGGCAATGGCGTCAAAAGAGTCCCGGCTCGTCCGATTCTCTTCACTTCCTCGTTTGACGCCCCGCGCGATGAAATGATTCGGTTCGCCGATTGGTGCGAAACGGGCGAAGGAGGTTTCTGTCCCGCGGCAAAAAGGGACCCTCGGCGAATACAAAGCGGGGCGCTCGGCGTCCGAGGAAATCATTCAAATCGATGGACGAATGATCAATTGAAATGCTCGAGGGGTTTGAACTGCGGCTTCGCAGTCAGACTTGGGACGGGGCGGCGGCACCGCCTCCGGCACAGGTGGCAAACGCCGGTCGGATCGGCCCGACGTCGAACCCGTTCATTTGAATCGGGTGTGTTGCGACGGGGAGAACACGCGGGACGACACCCGCGGCCCTTCGCGCGGGAAATAGTCCGATCGAGTCCATTCAACGCCTTCGAAAAACGGACGCCGCCGCGGGCCGGCTCCTTCCGAGCCGAAACCCAAAGTCCGCCCGGGAGTCGGTCGGCGAGAGCGACGCGCGTCCCCGCGCTCGAGCGGCACCGATCTGACGGCCACTCCGTTGCAGCTGAAGGAGGTTCGCCGGGAGGTGGAGCTGTCGCGAAGGCGCAGCATCAAGCTCAAGGCGCAAGTGGACAAACTGCAGGAGAGCCGACAAGGACCCGGATGGAGTCGAGACCGAGAGCGGGTAAGCGGCGAAGCGCGCGGTCGCGACCTCGGGAAGCGACCGACGTCTTCCGCGTGTGCTGGGCCCCGCGCAGGTGACGGAGGAAGTGCTCTCCATCCTGCGGCTGATGCAGCTCATGTCGGACGACTCGGGCTCGCCCCCCCGGGAGCCGCCGCCCCCGGGAGAAAACCGCCTGGACGCCGCCCTCGCCCAGCTGCAGGACATCGCCCGCAGAATGGCCGTCAGCGGCATCGCCAAAAAGGTTTGCGCGCTTTCCGCCGTCGTCGCCCCCACCCTCGGTCGCTTCCGGGTCGCCTCGCGTGCGTTCCACTCATTTTTCTGCTTCCGCTCGAGTCGACTTGGTCTCGGGCAGGCTGCGCGACGCCGTGCAGACCCCCCCTGGTCACCCCTCGGGGGCCCTTTTTGTTGTTGTGCCCGTTCGGCCCCTTCCCGACCAAGAGCAACAAATGCCTGGGCGTCTTTGCGCCCGAGTCACGTGGACTCCCGTCCGGGACTTTGCGTCGCGTCTAAGCGGTTTTCCGAAGGACGACGTTTTGAAAGACGTCGGGCAGACGTCAAGCCCGATTTGCAAGCTCACGAGAATGTTGTCCGGCCTCCTCCCGGCATGCGGCGAAGTGGACGAACCGGCAGTCCCGGCTGGCGCACGCACACCGCATGACGCCTTCCGTTGTGTTGTTTTTCCTTCAAGTGCGAGTGTGCGCGCGTGTGTGACGTCAGGGTGAGAGAGACGCCCGTTGGCGTGAGAAATGCCAACGCGAGCTCGCGTCTAACCTAACGTGCGGCGCTGCGTTCAGGACGCCGGGTCGGCGGGAGGAAGCGCCTCGGAGGACGGCGCCCTGCTGCAACAGGCGCTGAGGGATCGAGACGACGCCATCGACAAGTGAGTGGCCCGAGCGCTCGCCCGGTCGGCTTCGCCCGGCGGCTGACGCGCGCCTTGCGCCGGTGCTCGCGGCAGGAAGAAGGCGATGGAGACGGAGCTCCTGCGCAGTAAGTCGGAGATGATGCTGCTCAACAATCAGCTGCTGGAGGCCGCGCAGAAACGCTTGGAGCTGTCGCTGGAGCTCGAGGCCTGGAAGGTGAGCCGGGGGGGGGGGGGGGGGGGGCCCTTTTCCGTCGGTCAAGAAGGGCCCAAAATCAAACGCCGACTGCATTGTGACGAAACCCGTTTGCGCTTTTGCCGCTTGAGCAGGAGGACATGCAGCTGTTGCTGCAGCAGCAGCTGCTCCTGCAGCAGCAGGTGGAGCAGAGCCAGAAGAAAACGTCGCGCATGGGCATCCTGAGGAGGAGCAAGGCGCCCATGCAGCGGCCCGCCAACTTCCCGGTGGCGCAGGGCCCCCCCGCCTCGCCCGCCTTGCCCGACTCGCCGGCGCACAGCCCCACCCAGAAGTTCTTCGGCCGGGCCCCGCCGTCGTCGCCCGCCCAGGCCGCGCCCACTTGGAGGGACAAGTGGAAGAGGGGCAACGGGGCCGGCGGGGGGCGGCCCTCGCTCGAGGGGCCCCAGCGCAGGGACGACGACGGCTTCCAGGTGGTCTCGCTCGACTGACGCGCAAACGCATCGCCGACACGCCGAAAGCCGCCCCTTTTTATTCCACCGGCGGAATAAGCAACCCGCCGACCATCGCGCTCAATAACGCGAGCGGGACAACAAAGTGACTTTTTCTTTTTTTGCCGCAGTTTGCTTTGGTGACGACTTGGATCGTAAGTAAACGACGCCAGCCGGCACGTTCGTCGGCCCTTTCTTCTTCACCGCACGGCCACAATATCGATTGGCGCGCGCGCGTAGAAAACGTGCACTCTGGCCCTTGAAATCAAGTTGAGCCCAAAGAGAGCGAGCCTCGCTCTCGCTCGACTTCCAAAACATCGCCGGCCGGCGACAACACTTCATCAGAGCGGCACTTCCAACTGGAGCGTAGGCGTGGAACTCCGGCCCTCCGTGTTTTCCAACTCTCTCTGCGTCGCAATCAGCTGCGCCGACTGCAATAATGGGCGAGCCCTTCGGAAGGCCAAGATGGAGGCTCTCATTTGAATCAGGTGTGTCGCCACAGGGAGAGGTGGAGCGCGCGCGGGACGGCCGGCGGCAGCTTGACACCCTCAAGCGCGGGCCTCCAAATTCAAGGCCGCATCCTCCCAGTTTTGCCTCTCGGCGGCAATTGGCGTGCCGACCTTTGCTCCGTATCAGCTTTGACTTTGGAAAACAACGAGCCCGCCCGTAGGTAAGCGAGTCTTTTTCAAAGAAGCTCGGTGAGCACGACATCGCTCGAAGTACTTAGTTCACAAACAATGGTTTGACGAATCCACTTTCCTGCAAAATACATTTGATGCGACTATGAAATGGGATAACGGGTCGATTTGAGAGCGAGAGCCCGAAGCTGCTCTTCGTTGCCGTGATGGTTTGCGCACAAGCCAAAAGGCGTTGGTTGGTTCGATTTTATTTCCCCTTTGTCTTGGCTTTTTACACTGCAGTGTACACGCAAGGGTCAAATTTCCAGCGTAGTAGCGCATCGCGCCACCACATGTCGGGCAGCGGCGAGGCCGAAGCGCGCGGCGTCCTCGCTTAGCGGCGGGCAGCAAAAAGGAATCGGCGATTGTAACTTGCCCGCTACCATTGCTTTTTCCCGCGTCACAAACATTTGGAAGCAAGTTTGTTGGGGAGCCCGAGCGCCTTCTCCTTTTCCTTTGCCCAAAGTGATGTTATCCCAAAGTCTCCCGTTTCTTGACGGCGAGAAAGTGACAACGTTGCGTCCGGAAGGCGTCGCCACCATCATCGCGTGTCCCGTACAGCGCCAACAAGATTGGCGTTGCGGCATCGGGCGGAGCTCTAGGACTGCAGGAAGGAGATGACGGAGCTGATGAAGTCCAAAGGTTTGTCGGCGTGGACCCAGTGGCCGGCGTCGGGGATGTACTGGATGTCGGCGCGCGGGAAGAGCCTCTCGATTTCCGGGTAGTCTTCGGAGCTGCGGGGAGAGCCGAGGGACACGCGAGACCACGTCGCTTATTGGCAAACACAGGAAGGGAGAGAGCGCCACACATCGATGGGCGGACGGAGAGAAGAGGGGGGGGCAAAAGAAGGAAAGTGTGTCTGACAGAGACAAGCGGAGGGGGCGTGAGAAGGCCACAACGTCATACCTGATGTAGCCAGAAGAGGCTCCGCCCAGGAAGAGGGTGGGGCCGTGGTAGGCGGAGCCAAAGGCGGGGAAGCCGCTGACGTCACGGAGATGAGCCGAGATGGCGTCCAGGTTGAGCCTCCAGACGTAGCGGCCGTCGCGCTCCACCAGGTTGCTGAGCAGGAAATGCCGGACCGAGCGCTCCTGAAAGATGACAAAATGGCCGCCCATCGGCAGGCAGGAATTTCAACACCGTCCTTTTCACACCCCCCCACCTCGATAGTCCGCCGGAAATGCCGTGCCGAGTAGCGATGGGCGACTGAGCGAACGAGTGGCGGCAGTCGCGCCCCGAGTGACCGGTTGCTGCCTTGGTCCTGTGGCCACGCTTGCGACGGAAAGCGCTCCGAAGCGCAAACGCCCTTCATCTTTTACAGACACCCCCCCCCAAAATACTTTTTGGTTTGTTTTTGTGGGAAATGAGTCCAGCTGAGTTTGCTACCAGACACACGCGTGAGGGGGGTCAATTCACAGCGCATAACTGCAAAAACTCCCAAGTCGGGTCACTTGAATCTCAAGGCAGAGCCGGTGTTGATGGACTACAACATCCACTGCAAAGTGGCCGTGGTGACGGACGGCGTCGTCGGGAATGGCCAGGAAGGACCGCCCGCCCCGCCCGCACAGCCTAAGCCTCGACGTCGATGGCGGACCATCAAGCCGGCGCGCCGACCTTGACCGCGCGTCGCAGCTGGTCCTCGGCCACGCGTCTGGCGGTGGAGCGCGGCAAGTCGCCGGAGACGTCCACGTCCCTCATGGCGCGCACGTAGGAGTGGAAGTCGGTGGCGGTGTCGCTCCGGGCCGGGCTGACGTCCACCACCACCAGCCGCTCCACCAGCGCCGGCTGGAAGCGCCGCGCGGAAACAAGGAGCGGTCAGCTTTCAAATGCCGTCTCGCGGGACCGACGCCAGGCTGAAGCCGACACCGGCAGCCCCGCCCGACGATCGCACGCGCGCGCGTTCCGACCTGCGTGATGGCGGCGGTCATGGCCGTCTTCCCGCCCATGCTGTGTCCGATCAGGACGCACTTGTCGATGCGCAGCTGAGCCAGAAGGTGCGCCAGGTCGCCGCTCATGGCCTCGTAGGTCAGCTGGGGGTCATGCGGGCTGTTGCCGTGGTTACGGGCGTCAACCGTCAGCACCTGACTGGACAAAAGGAACTTTTGCAGCAAGCAACCGCCGATATAAAAGACGCTTCCAATTTTTTTTTTTTGGGGGGGGGGGGGCGGGAAGCACGGTGTCGCCTTTGAAGCGGGAGTACCGGCGCGCGTCCCACGTCTCCGCGTTTACCTTTCGTCCCGTCCGCTGCACCAGCGATTTGGCGATGGAATGAAAGTTGGATTTGCTCCCAAACAGCCCGTGCAGGAAGTTGAGCGGCGCGGCGGCGGCGGCGGCGGCGGCGGCGGCGCTCTCTCCGTTGCCGTCGAACACGTCGTACGTCAGGTCGACGGGGCTGCGACGACACAAACGCGTCAAGGCGTCTGGAACTTGCGTCGCTCGCACACGGAGCCGAAAAGCGGTTCTTATGTCACGCGAGCGAGCGGCCCGGCGCCAGCGAGATTCGGCGACGTCGCTTCTCGAAGGAGTCCCCATCGTCAGCACCCTTCCAAGTGGAACGTCAAAGCGTAATAACGCAGCAACGTTTCGTTACGACAGCGACCTTCGAGCGACGCGACAGGAGCCAAGCTAGCTCGACACGCAACGACCGCAGGTGACGTCATTGACGCGAAACGTCGGGCTGCGACCGGTCGAACGAATGACACGGGACCCTTTCTTCATCCCGTGAGGGGAATCGTCATTCTCGTCCGCGAAAGGCCCAACGTGACAATTGCCTTCGCGCGAGCAACGACAAAGACTTTAGCCCGCTGCCGAGCGCGAACTAGCCCGGTCTCAGCGGACGGTTAGCGGCCGGCCGCTACCTGGCGCCCGCCGAACTCGCCGAGCTGGCCTCTCTCCGTTCGGCGGGAAGGCGGCCCGACGTCCGGCGGTGGCTTCCGTTCGGAAGCAGAAGCGGCGTCCTGCGGACCAGGCGACGCAGAGCGCTCATGGCGGCGGGCGGCGGGCGGCGCGCTTCGCGAAGACGACGACGACGACGACGACGACACTTGGACTCGACGTTAACCGGGCCGCGCGAAGCGCAATCGCGCAAGCCTCGTAAGCGCGGCCGGGCTCCGAGTGAGAAGCGGAAAGCCGGCTCAGGGACCGACGGAGGCGCGGCCGTGCGTCATGACGTCACGGGAAAAGAAGCGCACAGGCGCGGACGTGCCGGTCACGTGGGTGGGGGCAACGCACAGACGGTGAAATCAACCTCGCGCGATATCTGTGGCTCTCGTCTGAGTCAACTCGGTTGACGAGAAACGAAAGCCCACCCGCCTCGCTTGCACGAGTCGCGTCCACCGACTGCATTCGGAGCGCGCAGGCGCAGTCCCCTTTCTCGGCGCACTGTCACGAGTGTTCTGTTTTTGACCAACAGGTGGCATTGGAGAGCTTCTCATTTGTTTTCTTTTAGCTTCTCATACGTCGTTGCACGTGTTGCTCATCACGTCATTAGTTGTTTTTTTTTTTGGGGGGGGGGGTTCTTTTAAAAAGAGCGCCTCGCCGACCACTCTGGGTCGGGCCTCGGATTGCTTTCACGTGGTTTTTGCTTCTGCCACGGCTTTTGGTTTGTTGCTTTGTGACTTTGGTTTCTTGGTGTTTTTCGGATTTTATTTGTCGCTGCTGCTACCTTCTCCAAACGTCTAGGCGGCGCCAGAGGGTAACGCTGCAATTTTGCCTCGTAAGATTAGCACGGGGACTTATTTCTTTCAAATGTCTTGATGATTCTTCTTGAAAAATTCTTCTCAAGTTAACGTGGCTTACTCTCAAATGGCTTCCAAAAAAGGAGCATCCCAGCCTCTTTTTTTTCTTCCAATTTACAGATGGGCCTCCCAGCCAAGACACGGCCAGGCTTCCGCCAGCCAAAGCTCGCATCAGCC